AAGTTCCTTATTTCCTCTATAACATGCGTTCGTTCTTTCCTTCGTTCTTTGGTTGGTTCACTTCATTCAGTTTATTTAACTCTTTCAATTCATCCAATTCATTCGTCCACTCTCTCATTTTCTTATTATAGTCACTTACTTATTCATTAGTCATTCAAGTTATTTACTGTTTTGCTCTAGTCAAACTTCGCTCATTTTTAATTTTAACTCTCAGTAATTTTAAAATCATTTAACCGTTAATTAGTGAGATAAATGAAGCTCACCTGCAGTTTGTTACTTGAAAATACTAAGTGGTGAGACTTTATAGTATAGGAATGCCCCCAGAGTGGAGCCTGAAGAATCATGGGAATATTTTGGCTGCTTTACGTACGCCGACAGCCAATGAGAAAATCCGAGGGGTGATTGACAAGCTACGAAAAAAAATTGCACTGTGCCTTACAACATTCACGGAGGAACAGGAGACCATAAGGACGGAAAGAACGTACCTAATTTTGGCGAAGAAATAAAACGTTTACTAGAACAACAGGTAAGAAAATATGATTGATTTTTTAATCCAAGAAAATTTCTTTAGTTCAATTATTTGGTAGTTTCGAGTAGCTATTTTAACTGATCGATTTAAACGCGCAATCGACTGCTCATTGGAGAGCATCATTTGCACTTAATTGTGACTTGGTTGTTTCAAACGTTATCAAAAAGCAAAATGTTATGCAAAAGCTTAAGATAAATATTATTAATGTTGTAAAAGTAAAGTAATAAAGATTGGAAATTTTGACAACTGAAAGAGAGGAACCTTTTGATATTCCATCCAGTATAATATCAAAAAGTGCAAGCTTTCTTGAGGGCGTTTTAATTTTTTTTTATGTAACCACAGCGTATGAAGAACTTATCCATGTAGTACCAGAAATTGGCTAGCTGTTTGTTGAAAAAGGTTGGTCGCGCTTATGGCTCATGATTTTTGTGGAACATTTCTGCGAGACTAGAACAGCCAAAATAGAAAGCTATGATTGTTTCTGGCTAATGGAGTGCTCTTAATGTCGAAAGAAATAATACTTATGAGATAGTTAATAAAACGGATTTAATAGGAGGTAGTTACAAAGGAAACTTACAATATTATTCGCGTTGTGACAAAATAAAATTGGAAAGCTTTTTTTCTCTTGTTTTCTACTGCCTGATTTCTTGATTAACAGGCTCACAAGAAGGCTAAACGCGTCAAACAGAAATTTTAATCGAAGTGATCTAAATTAAAATCAATACAATTTCTTTCAAGATTGCTTTTTCCAAGTTTTTTTTGCTGGTTAGGAGGTTAATCTCAATTAACTTTCCCATGAAAATATCTAAACAGATATGTTCAGGTGTGGTCGTTGTTTGATACCATCTGGGTCTGGTCAGTTCACTGTTTTTGAGTCAGTGTTGTGCTAATTTGCAAATAATGAATTAGCATTAATTTGCGAGTTTCCGCTGTGATGTAATGAATTCCTTGAAGCATACAGGACGGCGGCATAAAAGCATCTATTGACTTTTTTTAAGATACGGGCAGAAAGAAAACCCCTCCGCAACACTTCAATAGATCCTTCCTCGGTTTTTCAAGTTTTGAAGTTTCCACTGCTGTTAACGTTTCTAGGTTGAAAATTTGTCCTTTAATATGCTTTTTTTAAAAACAGAAACAGACTTGACACTTGACTTTTGTATTTTTGTCGATACTATCCCACGTCTTTGGTCCTTTCACATGACAGTCAGGTGACCAACGAGTAAATAATAGATATATATTTAGTGGAAATTGTTTCCAAAAAAAGCTCAATAAATTTATTGGAATTATTTTGTGATAAAAGTTAAACATAGAGTTATTTGATTTCATTAAAATCATTTTTTTTTCGATAACTCAGTTTCGTTATAATTCTCGGCTTTTGTAGTAATAAGATTCTAGACAACCTTGGTAAACATTATTCCAGTATTTTAGAAATTTTACTTGTTATCGTGTTCGTTTTCTTCAAAATTCCTGGATCTGAATAACTACAAGCGTGTAACGTGTACACACGCCCAGTTTAGTGCCCGAGTACAATGTCTCAACCATGTCATGGACATCGGCACTTTGCCCGAATTCTGCGGTAGGTACTTGAACGGTGTGTTCGCATTAGCACCTAGGGAGTGCCGTGCTCCGGCACCATGCCCTGGTACCAACTGTGGAAGTATCTTTACACTATGTTCACACCTGGTGCCCGAGAAAGATCCTCGTTGAGCAATGCAACTTCGCAGTGATACTCGACCTGCATGTAAATTTAAAAAAGAGGTTGGTGCCGCTAGACAGATGGTTGATACAGTCGAACGTCCACTAACGGCCATCTCTCCACAACGGCCACCTCTCTACAATGGCCTCTTTTTTGGCGGACAGTCCACTGATATTGACTCTTGTTTAAACCTCTCTACAAAGGCCCCGTAACTTTCCTCTGTTCCAAGGTGTCTGTTGTGGAGAGGTTCAACTGTACGTAGTTATTTTTCTTTGGAAGTGACAGGACCTCAGACAGTCAAACCTACTTTGTCCCCTTCATACAGTTACTGTCTTGGGTAGAATTTCACTGTTAGTCAGGACTTTCCAACCAGATCATCAGTACGTTTCTAAATGGTATGTACCTCTACGGCAACAATGGCTTTTAGTAAGTATCAGAGAAGAGACTACTCTTTCATTTTCTCAAATGACTGGTCTGGCCGGCCAGTTCTGACTTTTGGAGAGCGCGCTTAGGTTTGAGTGTATGAATCAGATCTAAAATCTCGGTGCTATTCTTTTTCAGCGACATGGCATCGAGTGACTCCATGGTAAAGCTGTCGCTTAAGAGAGAAATAGCTCAGCTAATGAGAGAGAAGGACATCAAGCGAGCAAGGATGTCAGAGGTGTGCGCTGACCTTGTGTACCACTGCAAACGACACGCCAGTGAGGACTATCTTTTGTCATGCGCGAAGGGATCTGCACGAAAGCCAGCTGGGAACGATCCATACAAGGAAGGTTCATCATGCAAGGTTATGTAATGCTTGGACGGTGTCAAAACCTCTGGAAACTGTCAGAATTTGAAGCAAAGTTTTAAAATTAATGATCATAAGGAAGAGAAACGAGTGTTAATAAAAAAAAGCCAGGACTTTGTTCGCCAGATGAATTACTCATAGTACTTTAAAAAGGAGCTGACTAAAGTTGCCTCAGCTTTCGTTTGAAAAATGGAGTAAGTCGTGATCCATTTGCAAATTAACAAAATCCCCATAACAACTAGTCTCCTACGTAGCCGCTCGGGCTGCAGTCACGCAATGCTCCCCGTCCTCACGCGTGACTCTGGCCCCAGCGCGCAGTTGCCAAGAAGACTACATAACAACATAATCATCTCACGGTCTGCAACAAGATGGCTTTTCTCAGTCGTGATTGGTCGATATTGCTCCCGTGAATCTTTGCAAACTGCTGTCCAGCCTCCTCTGACACAACAACTAGCCTCACAGGCACACCCGGTCGCCCAGGATTTCCCCCAGCTACGTCCTAGCTGATTTATGTAGCTTGATTGTTATCTCGATAGATTGGTCTATCGAGATTCATTTTACCGCGAAATCTCTATCCCGATCACGAATGTTGTATCGCCATTTCTCTTCCACGATTTCTCGACAGAACAAAAGGGGGAACGGTTAAATCGCAATTTACGGCGATCTCGATTGGAGTATTGCTTCTGAATTGTTTTATCGCGATTGGTTAGAGTGAGATTGTCACATCACAATTTCTCAATGAGCGATCGCAATCGTATGTACCTTTTCGCGTTTGTTGTATCACGATTTCTTTTCGCGATCGCAATTTTCGTATGGCGATCTCCTTATCGTCATTGCCATGCGTTTCCCTCGATTTTTCTATCGCGATCGCGAAAGCTACTCTAACACGATCTCAGGCGCTTTATGAGCCAAGCGAGATGAACGCGCCATTTCGCGCGAACCGCTTGTCTCGCGCTTCGCGGGAAATTCCGCGTTCGCCTCGCTGCGCTCCTCCCCACTAGTGGGGAGAAGCGTTGCGTGACGACACTAAAAACGGCTGTGTAGCAGTCTACTTTGAAAGGTATGGTTTTCAAGCAGTTTACTCTTGGATAGGGTATATGAATCAGAGAGTTTGGGTATAGAATAGAGGATCATTTTTCAGGAAACTGATCAGTTGGTTGAAGATTTTATCTAGACTAGGGACTAGGGAAACAG